TGTGTGTATGTGTGTGTGTGTGTGATTCATAGTGTGAAAATGTCAGTTACCTTGAGGTAGACCGCCAGCGGGAGCACCGCGATGGCCAGCAGAAAGTCGGCTAAAGCCATGCTGGCAATGATGAAATTGGTCAGATTTTGTCGAAGACTGCGGTCCTGATAGAAACAGACCAACACAGAGCCATTGGCCAGCAGAGTCCAGACGGGCAGGACGGCCAGACTGAGAAATCTCCAATTCACACCTCCGGAAGGCGGTGTTGCTGTGACGGCGGCCACCACGGCCAGCTCTACAGTCGATGAGCCATACATCACGACGAGGCGAGTTCGTGTGCTGTCGCAGGAGAGCCAACGAGCCCACCACTGACCGGACGCGCGGGTGGATCACACGGACCCGGTACCGTCGGCCGAAGGGGCGATGGGCACAAAAGAGGTCGGCTCCTCAACCCTCCAGCAGAGATGTCACTCTCGGCTGTAAAGAGGCCTGGTCTTGGCGTCCGTGTCTGTCCGTCAGACGGCGGCTTTCCGCTTCCACAACCGCCAAACTGGGTCGCCAAGACGCCCAACCAGGGCCGGACCATCCCCCTTCCGACGCCGACGCAACACCCATCAGCCTGTGCTCACCACGAGCCCTCGGGGTGGCAGGGAGCAACGGGAAAATCCGATCAAACCAAGCAGCTAGCCCTATTTATCTGACTTGGTGTGATTGAAGACTGGCCTATTGCTCTATTCACACTTTTCGATGCTCAGACCGTCTTGGATATCAAAAATAATGCCAACTGGAAGCACCTGAGAGATTCGACTAGATCCAACCATGATTGAAGCAAACGTTGTACGAGCTCCTTCAAGCTGGACCAAGATTCACAACCACCACTATAATTCCCATATATATATATATATATAAATATATATATATATATATATATAGTCTTGCATATATACATATGTACAGATACATGCATGCATATGGTTACACATTCAATCCATTCAAGTTAACGCTGAGGCGCATTTGATGGTTGGGACAATGCTCCGACCAATAGAAAACAAGTGGACGCATAACTATTTCGCCCGACCAATCAGATGACGATGGTCTTTGCTCATTTAACCAGTGGTTGGAGAGTCGACGAAATTTAGAACCATTTCCAAGGCAGATTGGGCTCTTCGTAGACATCGGCCGAGTGAGACACAGGCATTGATGATCCTCCTCGGAACATGAAGTAATACTATGCTTGGACTGGGATTTATGGTAATGGTAAAATGTTGTTGCATACTTGCTGGAGGCAACAACAAAGACAACTTTGAAAGTTTTAATCGAAGGTATGAAGACCAAT